GTAATTCATTGAAACCCAACTCTTCTTTGCATTTTCATGAAATGTCATACCACTGCTCATGGCTGTAGTGTATCAAGCCTAGAGTTAATTTCATGTCGTATAAACTTTTGATAAACGCTCACTCAAAGGTACGCTCTCGATCCCGGAGATCTCATGGCAATAAGTCAACTAAAATCAGGGTTAATTGCAACATCTTGTGTATATGGTTGGTCAGAACGCTTAATCCAACAGTGAGACCCACCTGGATTTTGTCAATACGCGCCTGAAGCAAATGACGGTCACCGGACAAACCACAAGTGGCCTCCAGCTGAGCTCTCAGGTCGCCCAGCCACTGGTCGATCAGATTGCAGGCCTGCTCAAAGCGCTGATGAGCCCAAATCGACGCTGTACTCGTCTCGACCAGCCTGCACGTCTTCTTCATCAACCTGGCGTGACGGTCGTTAAGATCGGGAAGTTGAGCTAGAGGCGAATCTATCTTCAATGCCAGATCATCGGCATCGCTGAGGGTGGACTGAACTAGTCCAGAGAAGTCGATGCTATTCGCCGACTCTTCCAACTCTCGTAACTGACGGCCGTGTGCCTGATGTGAATGTCAAAAATATAGGCACTGATAGGTCAAATTTGATAAAAAATTAAATTAAGCAGTTATTTCCAGATGTTAAAAAAAGTTCTTATTTAAAAGATTTGGCATTTTCTACGTACCCTCATAATATTAATAAAATAATACAGTAATAGTAAAAAGGATAGTAATAAATGATAGTATAATAAGTGGTATCAATTGTGATGGCAAATATTGTTGATTTTATAAAATATTTAAAGGATGATTGCCGCATGACACCATTCAATTTAGCTTAGCCTTGCCTCCCTCAACTTACCACAATTCAGGCTGGACTGCAGTTTCAACTTCGTCTTGGTCCTATCAGTACCATCCGGGTTCGATTCCCGGCATAGAAGTTGATAAGGCTTAGGCCAGGTCAAAATTGCAGTCAACACAGGATGGGAATTCCTTTTAGAGGCAAAATTAAGTGAAAGTTAAATGACATCGTGGTACCTGCTCATGTGAAAGCAGAAAAAGTCAACCTCATGAAACCTGGACTGAATATAGCTCTTATCTGAGATCAACTAATAAGTTTGAAGACTATTCAATCCTAATACAGCCAATTTGTGTTTGTCTCATCGTCACTCGGACTATAATATGTGCTTTTGAAGAGACTTGATTTGTCTTCAAAGTCACATCTGCCCTATGACTTACTGATACCCATGGCTGTGCAAGTGGGTTGTAACGTGTCGAGAAGAGACGCATGATTCGATTTAGAGTTTCATTCGGATGTCTCATGAGACCCAGGCAAGGTTGAAACTGCAGTCCAGTCTGGATGAGAATACCTGTAGAAAGATAAGGCTACATGAGAGCTATTCATACCATTCAAGACAAGGATCCAATAACAGTCACTAAATCCTATTAAGGGACTTAGGATATGAAACTATTGATAATTTTAAAACGTATACCAAAAAATGAATAGAAACAGATGTATAAGTTATGCTCATCCTATTTCTTCATAAGTGAAGAAGGACTGATAGTTGAATTTTCCCACAATGATATGAGTAGAAATGACGTTTCCATTGAATTTCACATTGCCTTGCTTTCATAAAAGTTGTTCTCATCCAGAGTCAACTGAGGCTTCGGCCTCGCTTCGGTCTCAATAACACACCCAGCGGGAGACGAACCGTGACAGTGCATAATGTGGGCTCGACAGGTTAATCACTCGGCCACATTGCAGCGACTGCCCTTGGGTCACAGGGCAGATGTGAATTTCAAGGAAGGCCAGGTCTTTTGCCATATCACATTGTTTGGTGGGATTGTCGATGAAGCAAACGTATTGTTGCTACAACAATCGACTACGTTACTTATTTTTCCTATTAAATTAGAGTTTCGCGACTACCAGTAAATCAGTAATATTTCGTTTAAAGTGGTGAAGGACTGATAGTAGAATTTCCCCAAAATGATATGAGTAGAGCTGACGTTTTCATTTAATTTCACATATGTGATATGGCAAAAGACGTGGCCTTCCTTGAAATTCACATCTGCCTGTGACCCAAGTGCACTCGTGGCAATGTGGCCGAATGGTGAACATGTCAAGCTCACATTCTTCACTGTCACGGTTCGACTCCCGCTGAGGGTGTTGATAAGACCAATGCGAAGTCGAAACTGCAGTCCACTGGTGCCTGG